TTCCTTCACTCTCCCATTGATGTATCCTATTTTCCCCCTAGTAGTGATGTAGAGTTTTATTCCCCTAGACCACTCAAGGTAGTTCAGACCATCAAAGAGAATAACAGCCATGGGGAAATTCATATCCATTCCCCCACTCACTCCATTGTGGCTCCCTGAAATCTCTGAAGTAGCAGAATTTTCAGACGACATGGTAAACACAAAGTTTTTTTATCTAAACTCTCAACTTAGGATCCCTCCTTATATCAACAAAAGCTCCACACACAACAATTCAGTTCTAGACTTAATCTGAGTACAAAAAATAGCACCAATTTCCAAAGAAGAACTATGACGAGACTGATTTTCAGATCTGCATGAAGAACAATCCCAGCCTACTAGTTTTTCAGTAAGTTCCACGACAACATTAATCAATAAGAGAGACCCTAACACACACAAAATCAGACTAACAAGCAGAGAAAACAGGTCATCTATGATCTACAGTCACCTTTTCACAGGTACAGGATCACACAATCCAACAATTAAAAAAAGATATAACCCTCACAAAAGTCAGCCGACATTCAGTGGTTTGGATTCATTTGTTCTCCACTTGGTACACGACCAAGGAAAGAAATAAAAGAAGAAAGAAAACTTTAGGGTTGTACCAGTTGCAGATCTGATTTGATCAGCCCAGATTCAGTCCTCTGTTCCGCCCAGATTCAGCAACTTGAAGAGGAAAAAACTTGGTCGCCCAGATTCAACAGCCTTGCTCTGATACCATCTTGGCAATAAATCCGATTGAAATATGAGGAAGTAGAGAAGAGAAGGGAAGAAGAAGAAGAAAGAAAGGGAGAAGAAAAGGTTTGGAGCAATGGAACAGTGCTGGCGGCGCCAGTTTCTATTATATTATATAGGGAGGCAGAAATAAGAAGGGAAAAGACTCTTGTGCCCCTGCTGTAAGTGAGTACAATAACAGAAAATAAAAAACGCTTTAACTAGCCAAACAGACCCTAACACAAATAATTAAATCATTTCAACAATAAACAAGTGACAAATACATATATATTTGCATTTTGGACAATGCAGACTAATTTCAGATACAGAAGCCTCCCTCACCCTCTCCGTAGGAGCAAATCTACAAGATAAGATGTAATATGCCGGCCTGCCACATTCATTCGCTTTGTGAGATGGGGGAACGAGTAGCCATCAACAACTGGAACCTGGAAGACAAATTTATTTATGCATTTATCATCATTATTATAAATATTATTAGAATTAGATGAGTGAGAAACAGGGAAAGCATCCTGTTGTATTAGACAAGCACAAAAGAAAAGGTGCAGCAAGATAAGCCCTACATGATCTCTAATATCTATAAAATGACTCATTTACAGGACATAATATTGTGCATTTCACAGACAGATAAAGCTACTACTATCATTGTAAAAGTTAATAAAATGCAGATCACAGAACTCCACCAGGGCAGAAGCCAAAAAGTATATCAGTCTCTCAACCCTATTAATCAGTGCCCAGTCATGATGCATCTTCTATTTTCAATGTCGTGCTACTTCTTATTATTCAAGTTACCAACAGATTGCAGAACATTTGAAATTTCATAAGTGATTTTCTCTACCAAAGCCCATTGGTCAAGTGTCAACTAATGCACACAGGAAAATAACAAGAAACATGTAAATTTTTACCATTGATGAATCAGAAAGTTTTTATAAATCAGAAAAATGGAAGAAAGGTCAAATATAGTATGGGATAAAACACAAAAAGCAACCATGCTCTTTTCTACAAAACCAGAAGAAGGCAAATCTAGCATTTGCCTTCCCTGGAATGGAAGGCATCTTCAATTGTAGTATTGGCCTAACTTCTATTTCATAAGACAAGGTGCTAAATAGTCGACCAGAGATCCAACCTCCCCTGTAGCATGCCTCAGTACGAAGCCACTCCGCCCAGACTTTCATTTTAAGGAACCTAGAGTAGCTCCAAGTGATAAAATAAGAAAAAGTAGACTAAGATGGTTTAATCAAATGTATATAAGACCATCTACAGCACCCATAAGAAGAAATGATTTAAGAACATTGGCTTAAGTGGCTAGAAGGGCTAGCAGCAGACCAAAAAGAACATCGGTTAAAGTAGTATGGAATGATTTAAGCCCGTGTAATCTAACAATGGATATGGCAATAAACAGAACAGAATGGCAAAACAGAATTCATATAGATGACGCCATAAATTTGTGATCCCCTTCAACCTCCAAGTTTGTGGGATTTAAACAAGAACAAATATCAAGCCTTGCAATACTGATATTAGTTCTTCTAATACAGAGTTTTCTTGATATATAGGACAAGAGTACATCAAGATAAACTTTATTGATTATGGAAAAAGAATGGTATGTACAATAATTTGGTTCTTATTATTGATAAAAAATCTGGTTCTTATTGTAAGGCTGGTTTACTCCATCTACCCTCCTTTTACTCTTACATCCTTTACAAATAGCTCCCATTTTCTACCCCTAATACAATAAATCCCTAGGAGTAGCTCAGTCATGTGGATAGATGGCCATCTACAGAACCTGTTGGGAAAAGTGGATAGATGGCCATTTACAAGTTGAAGGAGCTAGACTAGGGGCATACCATAAAGGACTTAGGTGGACGTAACAGTGTTTCTAAGGCTGGAGATTCTTCATGCAGCAACAGAAGTGGTGCACTAAGAAAGAGTGTGGATTCTGATGAAAGAAATAGCATGCAAGAGGGGCCGGGAGATGCTCATTAGCAGGTTCTTGGCAGCTCATCTCTGGTAGAGAACCCAATTCATGCTCACCCCTCTCCTCCCCAAATCTGTAGGGTTTCAGAAAATAAGCCTAGCAGAAACAGCACAAATAACTCAGAATCTGGGGGGAAGGCTGGGGAGGTGAATGTGTCAGAGGCAGGTGCTTCTGTCCCGATTAATGATGGAAAGGAGTCGTTTAGTGAGGTAAGTTGTCAAGAGGTCCAGGATGTTAGGGCTGAAGATTTTGGTGCAACTGTTTGTTCTGGCAGCAGTCTCACAAGTTTGTACGATCAAGTTGCCATGGCAGACCATTTAGTAGAAGTTTTCGTTGAAAAGATTGAAGTTGATTTGGGTAGAAGGAGGTTGGAGACTGTTGTTGCAGGTTCAGCTGAAAAGTCGGAGACAGAAGTGAAATCCCATCTCATGCATGTTACAAAGGTTTTTTCGTGCTTAAAAGAGGGGATAGTCAGGGCTGGTCCTGGTAATAAATACAAGAGAGGATTTAAGAGAAGAGGGGTTAATGCAAGAGCCACAACCAATAACAATTTTGCTGGGGTTTGTCGTGAATCTCATGATGACAAAATCGGGTCTGAGGGATGTTCTTCAGGAGGGGATTTAGGAAGGAATGGAGTTTCAGAAGAAAAGAAGGAGAGTGCAAAGAGTTGGGGAAAGAAGATAAGTCAAGTTTAGAGAGGGAGGATAAGAAAGATGGTAGCAAGGGTTTAAGGAAGTTGGTTGAGAGAGAAGTGGAGGCTGGAAAGGCTCTGGGTTTGTATTTTTGGGGTGGTAAGGCTTTTTCCAGAAGGGCCTTTGAAGAGTTCAAGAGAAGGAAAAAGGAAGAGAGGTTGAAGAAGCACGTAACAGGGGAAGGGGGAGAGATTTTAGATGAAGGGGAGGGATAGGAGGATGAGTTAGATGGGGGGGGAATAATTCTTTTTATCGGGAGAAGTCCGGGAAGTTTGTTTTTGCTGAAGTCGGAGAAAAGAGTTGGGATGTTTTCTCAGTTTGTTCAGTAGGGTCTTTGGGTTTGATTGTTTTGATTCAGAACCAATTGCTGTTCCTGAACTATCAAAAAAAAACAACTGTTGTTCCTGACTGGTGCTTGTGTGGAGTTGTTAATTTCTGAACCTGACTTTCTTTGGTCCAGCTTGTTGGTTGGGTTGGGTTTCTTTGAAGGGATGTGTTGTCTAGGGGGTGCATAGTGTGCTTCTCTCAGGTGATATCTTATCACCTTTCTTATTTATTTTCTTTTTCTTTTAATGAGATTTTATCTTTACCTTTCAAAAATAAGATCGGATTTTTTTTTCTTTTTTTCTTTCAATGAGATTTTTATCTTTACCTTTCAGAAAAAAAAAAAAGAAAGAAATTATTTAAGTGCCCATAATTTAACAATGGATATGGCACTGAACAGAACAAAATGACAAAACAGGATTCATGTAGCCGACCCTATATAGTTAGGATGTAGAGATGATGGGCTGAATGGGCCTTACATTCATGTAGCCGACCCTATATTTTCTTTGTTTTTTATTGTTATCAGTTCAGCCGCCGTACTGGGGACACCCTTGTAAATGTACACTGAATTGTAATCAATTCTAATAAAAGATGATTAAGGGATTGCAGAGAGATATGATCAAGCTCTCTTCCATCTCCCTTGTAAATGTACATTGATTTCTCTCAATGTATGCCATTCTTTGGGAGTTTTACTGTCATAGGAAAAAAAAAATTTACAGAAAATTGTTGAAAAACTGAAGCATGCCTCTAATATCATATATTCATCATATCGGCGTGTGATAAATAAGAATTGTTGGTATTAATGATGGAAATGGCTAAAATACAAACAGGAAAGAAAAAAATAAATCAATGCCTGCCATGACCCACTGACCAGGTCAAACAGTTCAGTGGTTCAACCAGCCGGATTACTGAGTCATTGACTAAGTCAATATTGTTTGCAAATCAACCATGTGTTGAAAACATTAGGGAAAGAGTTGGCTAGCCGACTCCACCCTTCCACGTAAGCTGCACATATCTTTTAGTGGTCTCCTCCTAACTAGCTGATTTTTCTTTTTAATTGGTAATGGTAAATTTTATGGATATTAAAACTACAAACTATAAAGTGTGCCAAGCACCCTTTTTCGTTTTAGGCTAGCACCAGCTACCTAACCCACAATCAGAAAATTTTCATTTACAGCTCCCCAAAATCGCATTCTTCTATGCCTTGGTGTATCACCAAGGCTATCGACTGATCTATGGACCAATATGGATTCCATAGCTGTCTTATCTCTCTCACTGTGCCTATAATGCCAAGAAAAAATTTGTTGCCTTTGGACCAGCTCACCACAACATTGGAGCCTTCTTCCACCAAAAGATCCTTATAGTCAAGCATTTTTACTAATCTCAAACGTCAAACCCTGTGAGGATTCATCAAATAAGGTGCACAACAGGGGATAGAACATGGAAGTAGAATGAGTGAGCGAGTTACTTAGATCTTTTTCAAACTCAAGGACACAATGTGGAGAAGCAATGCAATTATGAGAGGATCAGAGGAATACCCCCCAGTTTAGGATCCATAGCACCATAACTTTCCATGAGGATCCATTAGAGAGAAAGAATCCTCTAATATCATGCAAATAGACAAACAGTACTTTTCCAAAGCCTTGGAGTTAACTTAGCTTCAAGCCTTTTGGAAACAAGGCAATAACCACCAAAAATGGGGTTTCAAATTCTGGTTCTGGGCTGGGGAGCAATAAAGCACAAGATGAAATTTTGGCAGAATTTTGGGAGAAATTTTCATATTCAAATAGGAACCAGTGAAAATATTTAAACATGAAGGAAAAACCTCCTTTTTCCCACCAAATTCTTCTCAACCCCCTATTTCTATACTCCTCTTATTTCTCTAAAACTTCCCGATTATTTTTTAATTAAAATGAAGGAGACATGTTCTTTATAGTCCTACAGATATTGTTCCAGAGAGCTGGAAATCAGAACATAATTCTCAAATTTTGGAACTTTTCTCAGGATACAAAACCATACAAGACATATACAATAACTGGAGGTATAACCTCATAATGCCTCTAAAGTAGAACGTAAATGGTTCTCAAATCATCTTACCACATGAGTAACACCATCACCAGAATCGATAACTAGACCAGTTAGCAAGCCTGTAGACAACATAACATCAATCATCAACGACATATGGCAGGAAAAGTGGTTCTTAATGTCCATGGTTATACAACTTCCAGTACATGTTGAAGTATCATCTAGAAATATCCATGAAATTTTGACAATTTTAAAGTCTTAACCTTCAACGGCCCTTTAAGCACCTTGAGCATACAATGTCAAAACAGCTTGGATTTGAATGAAGACATCTGTGAAACCGTACTTCTCAAACATCGTCTCTATCTGCAATTTTGAGACCAATCCATAAGGAATAATTAGAAACAAGTAATGAGAAACTACCTACCTCATGGTTTAAAAGATTATGAAATTCATGATGGGAAAAAAAAGCATCAAGTTTATAATGAAAACCCACCATTTTTTCACGGTTTTTTGAAGGATTAAGAGGTGGATCTGTGAGTAATATCTTACATTCTGTTGGGTCAACCTGTTCAAGGACAAAGCTGAAATTAATTGGTTTGGTTATAGGGAATTATTTATCTAAAGGCCTAATGCATGCCATAATAGATCAGAAGCACTAGGGAACTCACCTTCAATTCATTGAAAAATGCATGGTCCCATACATGGCCCATATCTTCCCAATTCTGCACAATGCCATTATTAACAGGATATGATATATCCAACTGATGTCGCAAATCTGCACAAGCTTCTCCCACAACAATGTCCTAATGAATAAGAAAGCAATAACACATTTCAGCAGTTCAGCTATGCAAACTTAAGCTATAGCCTATAAGTAATAAGCAGCATACAAGATGTATCAACTATCAAGACATGAATTAGTGTTTAGTTTACAAACACAGAAGAACCACCACCCAACAAACTGGTATTCCGATAGAACATATGAAGGTGTATATTTATTACTACATCGGACATGTAGTAATAGTTTACAAACACAGGAGAACCACCACCCAGCATACAAGATCCAATTATTACTACGTGTTGTAACTGGGTAGCTAGGGCTGTCAACAAATTCCAAAAGTCCAGAACCCAATCCAATTATTTCAGATTCAGATTATCCATTTACATTATTGGATCATGTTTGAATTTTATAAATTGTATCTGATTAATGACTGGATCAGGTGCAGATTTAACCTCATCCAATCCGACTAAAATCCAAATCAAATTATTTTATAATATTTTTTGTTTTTAATAATTCTTTCTTTAATTTTAAGAAATGTGAAGCAGAGTCGGATTAAATCTGAATCTAATTCAATGCCAATAGGATTCAAATTCGATCCAAGGTCCCCAAATCCAATCAAATTTCAGATTAGATTTGGATTTCAATTTTCATTAGTTGTATTGAATTTGGACGTTGTTATTTCTGATCTGATTACAGCCCTATAGGTGGCTTAAGAGTCAGGATGGGCCTTGAAATTATGATACATCATAGGAGAGTTGAAGTAGCTAACACAAGGGTTGGGAGATGTTGCAAAATGGGTACCTAGATTGGCTAATGGTTTGGCAGATGAGCTAGCAAGGGAAGGGGTGGGTAGGAAGCAAATGTATTGGAGTCTGACTGTAATGCTCTTGGTGATTAGCCGAGGCAAGCCATTTTTTATTCATGTCTGTACTAGCATTTTTTTTTTATAATTCTATGTACTAGCATTTATTCTATTAATAAAAAACTTTAAAAAGCTTCTTACTGATAAAAACAAGATACATCCCATGGCAAGAAGGTCACACGTCACATGACTGAGAATAGCTTGTGAAGACATTAATATTTGTTAACCAACTTGGCAATAGGCTGAACAAACTCTGTTTGACAACCTTACCAATTACCAGTATCATATTCAAAGCATAGATCTATTTAATTCGGTCATTTTCACAAATACAAAAAGGATTTATCCATCTCCACCAATCCAACTGGAGACGATCTTTCTAACACTGGTAATAAATGAACATCTTCCTTTACCAAGTTGGCAGTGAGCAAGATTAAAATTGTCAGAGTACCTCACCTTCAACTCTTGTTCTGTTAGTGATTCTTCATAGCGCAGTATGGGTCTTCCAACCACACAAGGAAACACAGAGGTTGGGAAATTCTCTCCGGAAAAACCACATTTAACATACTGCATGGAATATGAAAATTTATATTCAGAGAGGAAGAGGCTAAAGTATACTTATAAATTACATAACAACAAAGGAAGCCAATCAATATAACATTCACAGACTTAGGGTTTCCTGCCATGGATTTTTTGGCAAGTATCTGGAGCCATGTTACCAATGTTCTTTTTTATCTGTTTTCCCCCTGACCCATATGCATTTCAGAATTCCAAAAGACATAGATTCATGTGGCTTGTAAAAATATTATCAAATACTACACCATTTAAAGCTGTTGAAAATTATGGTTAAGAGGCTGAGATTTTGGCCCTCCTCAAATATGCTGTTACTGTTAAGATGAGAATATCCTCTTTAGTCGTTTAAGGGGATTCTGCCAATGAGATTGGCCCTTGGGGGTTATTTTACCATCTGAATAAAATAAGGAATAATTTCTCTGGTTCGGTTAAGATTAGGTAGATCTAAAGAATAAAGAGAGCTCACTTTGATTTCTGGCCCTTGGCACTGCAGTGCATTTATCATGATACATGCCTTAGGCCGCGTTTTTACGCTTACAAGCTGCTCAACTTGAGGATCTAAGAATTCCTTTTGTCTATGATTTTAGTTTGTGATTGAAAATCCTACATAAGTTATCCCCGTACATTGTATTTGATTTCCGTAATGACTTATCTTGTCATCACCGATTCATGGATCCCGACGACTTCTGGATTTAAAGAATTCGTAGCTACAGATTCTAATTTAATTCTACCATCATGCTAAATTTCCCTAGTTTTATAGCAACAATAAGAATTTTTTCCTACAACTATTACGTTGTTTGCCATCGAATGGACGAGATTTTTCGTAGATCAATGGTTTCTTCTTAGGATACATCTGGAAACTGGAGGAGCTAGGTAGTAGGTAATAGCAAATATAGATAGAGAGATCAAAAGAAAATTGGAAAATATATATATATACATATAAGGAAATACCCCGGTGCCGTTGTCGCAGACGACGACTTTCTTGTTGTCCATTAGTTGGCTACTGTTGTGTTTTTCTTGCACTACCGGTTGTCGTTCAGACGGGGCACGAATAAACAGGAATCCAACGCCACAAGAGAATTCAGAGGAGGGTGTGCATGGCGAAGAAAAGGCACGGAGAGATCGAAGAAGCAGATATTTGGCGTTGAATTTATAGGGTTTGGAAACTCAAGTTAAAAAGGTGCGAGTTGCAGAGAGAGAAAAAAAAAAAAAAAAAAGAGAAAGCTAAGCGATCCGAGCATGAGAAAGGTAGAAAATGGTGAAGGTTACGGTGGTGCTTCAAAAAATTACATATTTCCACCTCCTACTTCGTGGGTTGTGAAAAATATCCCTGGTAACTTTCATTTGCGACAAAAACCTCTAAATTTTTATATTTCAATACTTTGTTTCTCTCTTAGGCCTTGGCATTTCGTTTGTTCTAATGTTTGGCGTTGGTGAATTTTTCTTTGCTATGAAATCTAAATGTAGAGAATGTTGTTCTTAATTTGGAATTCTAAAATTGTCAAATATTCATTTTGACTCATGAGAGTTTTTGTTTATTTTTTTGAAAATATTATTGGAAAATAAAAAGTTGTATAATTTCACTTTAGGCTTAATTTGTAACGAGTACAAATATAAATATGTACAGCACAAATTTATACAAAATATAAGGTTTTGCTCTCTACATATTTGTATTTGTACTCCTTCCAAATGGAGCCATAAGAAATAAGAGATAAGAGGAAAAGAACACCAATTGTTCTCTTATTAAAGTCAAAAGATTCCTCTTAAAATGTAAGAATTAAGAGAACGAATAGACTATAACTTATCACCATTTATCTTTACACCTTGTCGATAATCAATTTAATCACGACCTTCCCTCTTTTTAAAGGCGAAACATCATATTTCATTCAAATATGAACCTCGTATAAATACAGAGTAGTGGTGATAGTACCAAACAAAAAAGTACAAAAACATTGTTTTAAAATAAAAAAGTGGTAACAGTACCAAGTAAGAACACAAGTCTCTAAAAATAACAAAATATGCACAGTGGATAAAGGAGAAAATGAATAAACTTTTGTAACAGATAACATGTGAGTCAAAATCACCAATAGAATAGATAAACGAGTACTTCTCCAACCACCGAAAAAGGGATAAATACAAGTAGCGATTCGTCATAACTTTAACCATACGGAACCACTGGTTTTTTTATGTAGATAATTTCTATACATTTTCTTCTTTTTGGCTTTCTTTTGTTGACTGAATGCAATTTACAGGGTAATAATTATGAGAACATCCCCCCCCCCAAACCACCACCAAATACAACTCTGCCCTCCTTACTCTAGCTAGAAATCACCATTGCATTAGCTGATCTTTTAATYCATTTGAAAAAGATCTCCAAACTGGAACTAGATCCTTGGCTTCTCTAGCATGATGATGATATGACCACGGGCCGTCAGTGTTGTCTCTGAACCATCCAATTAAACAAAGGAGATTAAGGCCCTCAGGTGAGGATTTCATTTCTGAAGTCAGCTCTAACCGAATACCCCAATCCCAATATGATATCTCCTGCATTCCCATAATCCCCCCTTTCCTGAGAATTCCAGGTTCCCCAAAGAGCATCCATCTCCTTGTGGAGAGAAATAATCCAATCCTGAACCATCATCTATGCTGGAGGGAGGAGACACAGCAGATCATCTTTGAACAATATCATCGAGAGTGTAACCTCTGAACTTCTCCCATCTCTGTACCCCARTATGMAATTCTGGTACAGATAATACAGATTGGGATTWACTCTGATGGTGTCTAGTTTGAGAAGAACCTGCTAAGAAATTTATTGAGTTTTGTGGTGGAACTCCATTGAATAGTGGACTCTATTGGGTAGTTTTGTTTCAGATTTTGTACCATCAGCCCATATAATCTGCAAGGACCTAGAATGCATATTTTCCTGAGTAAGAGCCAGAAAGCACAATGAGTAATCCTTCCCAGCTCAAAATAGTATGCTGAAATCATTGCCTCAGAATCATCAATTAGGACAACCATAATATTAGTAAAACCTTCAATTGATCAAAAAAAAAGATTAGTAAAACCTTCACATGTTGCATTCAGTACAAAGAGTGGTACAGTTGTGAGTTGGTAGCCTTTTCTTCAAGATTTTCTCAAGATTGAGCCCCAGTCTGGTTTTACTATCCTGATCTCTTCCTGATGGCATATTTAATCTTGAGCATCCTACGTTTTACTGATAATTGGACCTACAGCATCTATACTATATAAAGCAGATACTTGCCTTGGGTTCCATGTCCATCATAAAAGTTAAATTTAAATAACATATTATCATATATRGTTAATACTTGAAMACATGCRTAGCATGTGCTCTTACACTAATGTTAAATAACTTTGTCAGCAAGAGGTATTGCATCAAATTCATCTCTTCTAGACTTCCTCATGAATGGCTCGTAGACTGTAGGTTAAAATCAATGGGCAACCTCTGAGAAATAGGCTCTTCTTTTGGTGCCCATCATTTTATGATTCAGCTTGTTTTAAACATAAATGATGCAAAACATTTGTTTTTACCTGCCCTATGATTCAGAGGAAGGTATCTGAGGTGATTATTGGTTCTTGTCATGTCTTCCTGTAACAAAGTTGAGCATACATGTGCTTCTATCTCATCCTTTTCCAATTTTGTTTTCTCTCTTTTTTTTTTGGATGGATAAGTTTATTTTTGCTCTTAGTAAGGAAAACAAGTAAAACTTTTAAAGAGAATACACTACAGATGTTCTCCTGAAGGGTATACCCAGAATAGTAGTCATCTGTTGCATTATCTTCCTTGGGAGCCCAACAGAGAGCAGAGTGAACAAAGCAGAGAATACAAGGAATAGCAGTCTCCATTGCATTATTTTTGTTGGAGCATGTAGGTGTTTGCAAAATATCCGAAGTATTACTCAAGCCAGAGGCATATTGAAGCCATCAAGTAACAGTTGTTGATGTTAACAATCAATACTGGTAAAAGGTTCCAAAGTATGATGCAATTCTGGGATACATTGAAGCTATGAATGATGACAACATTCACAATCCAAGTGTTTCATATGATGTTTGTTTCGTGGAACAATGACTAGAGAAGTTGCTTTTGGTTAGAAAAAAGAATTGATTTGAAATAGTGAGTGACTGACACACTTATTGGTGCCAAATATATATACAATAACACCTGAAGAATTCTGAGATTTCATTTTGGTTTTCAAGAAACTTGAAAACCTAGGTGTGTCTATTGATTTCAACCAAGGTCTATTTTCATCATTTCTAATATGTCTGAAAAAAAATGGAATTCTGTGATTTTTCTTTTGATCTCAAATGAGATCTAAATGTGTCACATGATTAAAATGTTGGCTGATTTTAGAAACAGATAAAAAGCATCGAGCACGCTAGCAAGAGGCCTCAAATGCTGAGACATTCAAACCGTTTATTTCAGTATTATACTTAAAATAACTGAGTCATATAGAGCATGCAACATAGAAAAAAAAATATGCTGTTAGGAGTTAATTAGACATGTGAAATTATTTRCAASGGGTTTGAGGGAGTTAGAGGTATCCTTGGTTTTAAATTTGTTCAATTATTTAGGTGGGATCTTTCTTGATCTGTAAAAATCTGATGGTATGATTTAGATCCCCACCCCTTCAGTCTCCTTCTCTTGTTCCTATTTATTTGCTGTGTGGATTCTCCCTCCCTCCDCTCTCTCTCTCTCTCCACCCCCCTAAGACTTTCTCAGTGAAAAAGATTTGGTATAGAGTAGTGTTACCTAAGGTGAGGGCCTTCTGTTGAGAGGCTTTTCATTTGAAAATTATTACTTATTTGCATCTTCAGAGTAAAAGACTGAGTTGGTGTTTATCTCCTCACATCTGTATCCTTTGTAATGCAAGTGGGGAAGCTACCTATCACTTGCTGATATCATGTTCTTTTGTTTTTGGAAATTGGGAATGGTCTTTTGCTCTTTATGGGTGCAGGTTGACTTCTCCATTGGATGTGGAAAGGCAAGGTCCAAAAATGCTATTACCAAAAGCATCATAGCAAGGGTAGTTTAATGGGTCAAACAATTAGGCACTTTGACTCTTTATCCATTGAGGACATAATAAGTGGGGGCAGTCTAGTTCCATTAGGTATTGGTGGAACCTTTAGGGATTGTACTCATACTGATCATATATTCAGTACTGATAGGGAAGGGAAGCTCAATAAAAGAACTATCAGCAGCATTGCAAGGACTAAGGAACATAATTATAGAAATATAGGAGATTCAAGCAACTAAATGACTCAAAATTAGGAGCTGAACCCATGGCTGTACAAGAATATCATGAACGAGATTAAAATGCWGAAAAGGAAAWCAGTTATAAGTGTAAAATGGGTACAAATGTCAGCCAAAGGGATGGCTGATACTCTTACCAAATCAAGGGGTAAACTGAGGGAAATTATTTGGGGGTTAGGTGGAAAAGGGTTGTAACATTGGACCATATATCATCTCTATGTCTGTTGGTGATCAACAATACTGGTGGACCATACATTTCTGATTCTATAGCCATTGGCCCCTTCCATGCCATGAAGAGTGGGATTCTCACCTCAGCAGCAGCTGGAAACTTTGGATCTTTTGCTGGTACTGTAAGTAATTATGCTCCATGGATTCTCACTGTAGCCGCAAGAACTACTGATCAAGAGTTCAGGAACAAAGTTGTTCTGGGGAATGGCAAGTCTGTAAATGTAAGTCGTTCCATCCATCTCCCTTTCTTCATTATCGATCACTTGTAACCTGTAACCATTCATCAGCTAGCTTAGATTAATTTCATTTGTTTTCTCTACAATGTGTAGGGAGTTGTAATTGACACAGTGTCTCCAAACAAAAGTTTCTATCCTCTTATAAAGGGTGCTGATGCTGTTCTTAATACATCTCAATACGCGGCTTATGCAAGGCAACTGACTCTTACCCCGTGCATTAATTAATTATATTACTCCTTTCTTTTGTTAATTACAAAAAATGTTCAGTACCTCTGATTTCATGAACAAATCTTTTTTGGTTTCTTCATTCSAACCTAACAACTTCAATGGCATTCACAACAATGCTGCAATATGTCTTGACTACAGTAACTGTTACAAAGATTCATTGGACCCCAAGAAGGTGAAAGGAAAGATTGTATACTGCGACAACTTTTATGATGCACCCGATTACAATGTGAAGAAAATGGGAGGGGTTGGAACCATACTAAAATCGAATTTCGGACCTTTTGATTATGCCTCCGTTTTGATCTCACCATCGACCACGGTAAACCATACTCGAGGGCAAATAATAATGGACTACATTAATTCCACAAGGTAATTCATGAAAGCAAGCTCTATATATATACATTGATACTGTACTGCTGTTTTCCCTTTGTTGCTCTTTYCAAGTAAGTTTATCAATACAACACTCAATTGACAGAGGAACAACTGTGCTGACTTGAGCCATTTCAATCTGTATTTTTTTCTTGGTTGCAATTTATCTAGTTCTCCCAAAGCCGTGATATTCAAAACCCAGGCCATGAAAGTTGCTGCTCCATCTGTGACTAYATACGTTTTCATCTAGAGGACCTAATCCTGTATCAAACAAAGTTCTAAAGGTAAAAGAAATGGGTGTCAGATCTCTTTTATTGTAGAAAACTCACCACGTATATCTCTTGATCATCATTTACCATCATCAAGACATTTATTTCTAGCTTGTGCCATTAACCATGACACCATTTTCTTGCTAGATATTGTGTGTGGCAATTAAATGGGTCACTTCACTTATTATTTAATTGAATGATATYGAATTCCTTCTGATCTGATATTTTCTCAATTCATGATGAACATTCAAAACAGCTTGATATTGCGGCTCCGGGTGCCAACATCTTGGCTGCGTACACAGGAATCATGTCAATTAATTTCCGGCTGGCCAGATGATGATCGGTTTTCCAAATTCGTAGTGATGTCTGCTACTTCCATGCATGGATAAAACTAAGCTCACTTTCTCTCTCGCTGATCATCTTCAAATGTATTCTTCAATGCACCCAAATGRATAAGTGGGGTGGCTGCCTATGTCAAATCAATGCATCCAACTTGGTCGCCGGCAGCCATCAAATCTGCCATCATGACAACCGGTAAAAACTCTTACGCCTTCTTTCTTTATTTAACTTCCTAAAGAAAATGGATAAAACTAAGCTCACTTTCTCTCTTGGTGATCATCTTCAAATGTATTATTTTGATGTAAATATGTATGTTTTGTATTAATCAGCTACGCCAGTGAATTCTACTGTCAACCAAGAGGCCAAATTTGCGTATGGTGCTGGTCAGGTGAACCCACTGAAGGCTGTCTCACCTGGATTGGTCTATGACATGAATGAAATGCAACACATTGAGTTCTTATGCAAAGAAGGTTACAGCGGTACAACCCTAAGTATGATAATTGACTCAAATCCTATCGACTGCTCCTCACTTCCATGCAGCTAACTGTGAATGAAGCTATTGAGCCGGTARCTGGCGTGTTCAGAAGGACAGTCACTAATGTGGGGTTAGCAGGGTCCATATACAATGCCACCATAAATGCAGCACCTGGTGTAGAGATTACTGTCGAGCTCATGAGTCTGTCATTTTCTAGCATTGGTGAGAAGAAGAGCTTCACTGTATCGGTCAAGGCAAAACCCAAGAATGATCAGAGCTTCACTGTATCGGTCAAGGAAAAACCCAAGAAGCATAGCTTCACTGTATCGGTCAACATTTCCCCAGTTTGTGATCCCATATTGGTTGGAGATAGTTTGAATTCTTTTCAAGTTTCGGATACTTCTTTAAAGAAATATGCAAAATCAATTATGATTATTCTTTTTTAGTGATTGGTTGAATATTGTTCATTTCATGTTTGCAGCAGTATTACATGATCTAGATTGATTGTTGGGTGATGAAAAGCTTTTTTTATTAAAGAATCAGTATGCACCATGCATTTGTTTTATTAATTTTATGCTTTAGGTTTCAGCAGGTGCCAACTGAAATTCTTATTTATAAAAAAAAAAATTAAAAACCTAAGCCAGCGGTTAAACGAACCGCCACCTTTGGTAAAGCATTACACTTAACCGGCGATTTATATAATGTCTAGGCCGGCAGTCCAAACCGCCACTTTTGTCGAAATAAAACATTAATAGCGGCGGTTTAATCAGATGAAAATTTGGTCTAAGTCGGCGGTTAAAACCGCCGGATTTGATTATAAAATTTAATTAAGGTGGCGTTTTGTGGTAGTGACAAATTAATCTAAGCCAGCGGTCAAGGGCGCTGGCTCAATAACTAAACTGGCGGTTTGTGCGATCGCCAGCTCAATAACTAAGCCAGCGATTCTCTAAAAACCGTCACCCAATGTATGGTTGGACCGGGTCCCTAGGACGGCGGTCTTTGTATTCTAGACCGGTGCCCATGACCTAGGGCGACGCAAGTAAAGAAGGCAGCCACTGAATCGGCTCAAATCTATGCCGGCGGTTTAAATGGCTAAGTTGGTGTTTTAGCAAGTGTCGGCTTAGCCTGTTTTTCTTGTAGTGGAAATTGAGAGAGTGAGAATAAAATGAACGACTAAAATATAAATAAAAGAATAATCCCATGATAACCTCGAGATGGAGACTATTTCAAATAAAAGAGAAATACATAATCTCTATAAACTCAAAGGTAAAAACTCTCTCAGAGAATAAAGAAATATAACCTCGGGAAAAAACCCATAGCCGTAAGAGAATAGTCTCTCAATAAATTAATCGATTAACTGCAAGACTTTTCCTTTGAATGATACATAGTAATTTTCCTTAAATGGAATATAGAACTTTGACAAGTTTTGTTGCTTGCAAATCAATAGTGGACATTTTAGAGAACTCCCATTTCAACGGTGTGTTATTCCGGCATACATTGGGGTTTGTATATGCATACGAGGATACAAATCTCTTGTATTTATTTTTCCTTTTTTATTCTTCTTGCTTCGTTCTCCTTTTTACTTTATTTTTTTCAATTACAATATACACCTATTAGTTCTCATATAATCTTTGACACAAATATTGTCAGGACCTTTTTTTTATTTATTTTATGTTCAATTATTGTTCGATTTTTCTGAGAATTTCCTTGAACCGGTGATCTCTGTTGCTATTTGTTATTCTTATTTGCATTGTATCCTTGAATTAATTGATACGTATGCTCAGTTTTTAGAGAATATAAATGCAAATATATACGGTATAAATGTATACTAAATAATACAATATAATAGGTTTTGCGCTCTAAATGTATTCTCAACTTTCATGGTATCCTTCAAAGTCCAAGTGTAGTCTCAACTTTCACTTGCGAGGTAGTAGCCTCTATTTTCACAAATCCATACTCAATGCCAACAGTTAGCATTCCATCGGTTATATAGAACATGTTATAGTGTGCATCATAAAACATTTTTAAATTCCAACATTGCAATTTTTTTATAGGTAAAATTCAAAAATTACCTTTTTACATGTTGTGTGAAACTGTTTTGTTATCTTCTATGCCTCTAAAGCCTTAATTCTTAAGGCTTCATTTTTTCATTTTATTTGTCAAGTTTGAATGAATAAATGGTGTTGAAGAAATCAGTACGTGCAATAACCATTGTATTTGAAATTGTTTTTTTATGTTTATGAAGTAAATTGGATACTAACTCATTGTATTTGAAATTGTTTTTTTATGTTTATGAAGTAAATTGGATACTAACTCATTGTATTTGAAGCCCTCTTATAAAAAAGATTAAACCTTTCATTCTCTTTTGACGGTGTTTCTTGCAATTTGATGAATTGAATTTGTGTTGAAACCGATGGTTGGATGACATGCTCCCGTAATTCAAACAATGGTGGAGGTTAATTCTTTCAAGTTTCAATTGGACTTGGAAAGAAAAAAAAAAAAAAAGACGTGACATTTGTTTTTCTCTTGGTGGTGATTTTTTGCAATTTGAGGATTTGGATTTGAGCTTAAGCTAATGGTCAAATAACGTACTCCTATACTTCAGATGATAGTAGAGATCACTTCCTTTACTTGGGCTTCAAAAAGTTTGATCAAAATAATGATTATGCCAAACCAATATTTTCAAAACCGACTCAAAAACATAACCGTTCTGGCCACCGGTTTCCAGATCAGTGGTTTGACCGTCTGGATCAAACGGTTGGAACGATTTAAATGTTATAAATGGTGATATGTCATCTTACCCATTAGATTGGAATATTAGGGTAAGATGCATATAAATAGAATAAAAAAGAGGGTTTTACTGTTTGAGAATGAGAGATTGCCGATGGCTAAGAGAGTTTATAAGAGATAGAAGAACAAGAACAAGAAGAATGAGGAGGAGGTTGGCTATAGAGTCGACGATGATGGCAACGGCAACGGCGGCAAAGTTAGATATGAGATTTCTCTTAGATTCATATCTCTCTTTCTTAGATCTGTCATCTAGATTCTTAGCCTTCTCTTCCAGATATTTAATATCTCTCTCACTAATCTTTTAGCCTTCTCTTCCACATATTCCATATCTCTCTCACTAATCTTTTAGCCTTCTCTTACAGACTCTTATCCTTCTATTCCAGATCTTAGTCTTATAGATCTCATATATGAGATCTCCCTCCCTCCCCCCCTCTCTCTCTCTCTCTCTCTCTCTCTCTCTCTCTCTCTCTCTCTTTCTCTCTCTCTCTATATATATATCCAGTAGATATCAGATATGAGATATTTCTCTTTTTATTCGAATCTAGCTCTTATTTAATAAACCGCAACCATTCTCCAGGTTCAACAGTCAAATTGTTTGGGTCAACGGTTCGTTGACTAATTCAATGTTTTTGACAAAAGACCAGGTTTGGGGTAAAATGGAACCGGTCGCCTGTACGATTTCCGGTCCGAATGGTCCGACCGTCCGGGCCAACGACAGTTCGAAAACATTGTGCTAAACTTCAAAGGTGTTATGGCTTTGCTATTTAGAAGATGGTGTATGTATTTCCTTCTTCCTAATAGCCTTTTTACTTTCACTTGTTTTTTATCTTTTACCAAAAGTTCTCCACTTCTTGATGGGAACCGTTATTTATGGGTTTCTTGGTCTCATATCTTAGTCCCGTTAATTAAGGATTTGATTAACTCTTCTTACTATTTTTAGTGAGTGAAAAGGGTTATAATTATTACCGTTATTAAAGAAAATAAATTGCCATCCATTATTTTATCTTTGATCATGGCCGATTTCCATCAATGAGAACATGTGATTTAATTAACTGGATATTTTATTGGTTATAGCTACATTTATAAATAAGAGTGTTGGTAATTTACCATTTATATAGAGAAGGGTTTTTAATCAATTATTCATTCTTTAATTATTGATTAGATTTCCATATTTAGAAATTGGAATGGGTTATAGTGATTATTTCCATTAACCAATAAAATTTGCAATTCACATTTGAATTGGAATGTGACTTCATAATGGATCCTAAATGGACCATTCCATTATGTTAATAGATTTACAAAAACAAAACTTAGATGTCAAAGCATATGCACATATTTGAGAGTATGGGGCATGGGCGCATGGTTCAAATAAGATGACCCATACTTATGGGGGTAGGGCTCATTTAGGAGCCTACAAAAATTTCAATGTATATGGTGTGACTGCAATGTGTTGTATGGTTGGTGTGGGAAGCCAATTTAGACTCCAAATATTGGTTGACAACCTAATAGCTCAAGCGTGCATTGGATTGAATCATTAGATAGTTAATAATTATACGTCCAACTGTTTAATCAATGGTTTATGACAAGTTTGATCCCAACCATTGTAAATATATATTTTTATGATAAATAAAATTACCAATCAACCAATAAATCAAAGCAAAGTTTGTAGGAAAGGATGAGGGTATTAGACCAAAAAAGTCTCCCGATCAAAAGTTTTAGCCTGTTGAGCTAGTTTATGGGCTAGCGTATTCCTCAATCGAGGAATATTAAAACAGAAATGAAAATTAAATATTAACAGTAACAGAGAAAAAATAAGATGTGGTCCATCAGTTGCCATAGGTTAGGGGGAACATTACCCACCCCATTCAAAATATTTAGTATGGAAAAATAGTATTATGCATCCATTTTTTTCGAGACACCAACAAACCACTGGTCAATACAATATTCAACTCCATATACAACACCGACATGTCTAGCAAGCATCTTCCTCCTGCAACATCCACAAAATTCCTGTCTTTAAAGACACAAACATAAACATAAGAATCATTCACAATCTGACTAAGACCACCATTGCGAAAGAAAACAAAGTTTGCATTATTTATCAAACCTTAATATTAGGCCCCGTTCATTTTTCAGTAAGTTATTTATCCGGATAAATACAGTTAGCTGGATAAATTTTCCTTGGGAAATACTTATTCAGACAAGTGTATTTACTCGTGTTCTTTTATTTCCCAAGTAAAAAGGGAAATGACCATTTTAAGCACAAAAAATCAATTATTAAAATGGTCATTTTTGTCTCATTCAAGTGTTGTAAACTTTTCTTCCAGGTGGGAAAGTTATTTACCCATCTATAATCAAGCGATACCTAGGAAATTAAACTTTCCATGATCCCCACATTAATCTGGAAAAAAAAGGGATTCTTAGTCAATGTGAACCAAAATCCCATTGACCTACTTTCCCCCCTTTCAAAATCCCAAAAAAGGAATGCCCCCTTAATTTGTCCAAAGAGCTCATTCATGACATACTCCTTAACATCTATTTCAACCCCCAATTAGATTCTGCCATGATCTGGAGAATGTCTAAAGTAGCTTTTGTGGGATGACCATTGAATCCCTTACTTGGATTTATATGGGCACATCCCATTCCCACACATGAATGGCAATGGAGGTGGGTTAGGGGCACCAACCATAATCTCCATCCATGGTCCTAACTTTATGTCAACTTCCTATCATTTACTCATTTGTATACTTTTTCCTTAAAACCAAACACAACTTAAATTAACAATCTATATTGGAAAAATGTGTGCGTGTGTGTGGTTTGTAAAAAGAAGGAGAAAATCAACAATCTAAATTGGTTTAAAATCTAACCAACATTATTAATCATCAAGATAACATGAAAATTGAATATTCTTTCATAGATGTATTATTGCACATATAATACTATTATTTGTAACATATTTATATATAATCATTATTGGAGTTCACATGTGCGCCCCATAGCACATCCTTGCAGTGTGATGAGAGCGGATTTGGTCCTCTACTAACATGGTGACACATGGCACCTCAGAAACAACTAGGTGACATCCGGAACCACTTAGTCTACAACTTGCCTTAGCCAAGTTGGTAGTTTCCCACCTTACGGCCTGACCCAGGTGCAAACTGGCGGCCTAGCACAGGCGTCGACCTGGCGACCTGCGAGACGTGCTCGCCGTCGAATACGGCATGCATATCCTAACACTCCCACGATCCTTGGAAGTTGGCCCACATGCCGAACGATCTGGAGGATGGTCAATGTGCATGGAGGTTACATCTGGGAATCTCGGACCACTTAGACGACCTTGCAGAAATCTTGGATGCGGTGCGTGAAGCCCATGCCAAACAATGCCTATATAAAGGCACCAACCCCAATGGCATGGAGGGGGGCAAGTAAGCATATTCTAGTTCTCATACTTTGTGATTTTTAGCTCGCAATCTACTATGAGAGTACTGACTTAAACATCGGAGCGACCTCGCCGGGTTAGCCACCCTGGGTCCTCTGACATTGGTTCATCCCAGGTCTCTAAAGAACTACGAATCTCAACAATCAATCCAGCTCGACACTTTGGTCAGTTTGACACCTAATAGGTAGCCCGACCCTCTGGTAAGCTCGTCACTTAATAGGCAACTCGACACTCTGGTCAGCTCGGCACCTAATAGGCAGCTCGACACTCTGGTCAGCTCGGCACCTAATAGGCAACTCGACACCTAATAGGCAGCTCGACACGTAATAGGCAACTCGACACTCCAGTCAGCTCGTCACCTAACTTGCCTAGCTCGGCCCAGTCAATTCGGCACCTAACCTGCCCAGCTCAGCCCAGTTAACTCAACACCTAATCTGCCCCCAGCTCAGACCAAATGACAAGGTACTTAGCACAAAAGATTGATTCATCACAGTGTATTGGGAACATCTCCCGATGATGTACCAAAAATGATGATGTCATCATCAGGAGAAGTTCCCAATACACGACGGAGATGTGCAATGAGACGTTGTGGGGCACAGATATGAACTCTCATTATTACGGCGGGTAGTTACTTCACTCCTCGTCACTAATAATAAACAAAAGTTTTAAAACCATCGTTGACTCATATGGTTAAACTGTTTGGCTCGAAATTTGCTAAAATCATTGGTTTTGTTTTACTCATGGATTGCATTTATTAAAAAACTGTTGAATTGGTCAAAAAACGATAAACACAAACGATTAAACCGCCAAGTCATTTGACCCGGGTTACGGTTTACTACAATCCATTTCTCTATTCTAAAACGATTTTCATATTCCTCAATATTTAACATTATTTGAGAGGTTTGTAGTGGTGACAAATAAAACAAACCACATACAACCACCTCATCGAGTGGAGCTTTTTTGAAGTGGTGAGTGGTGGCCTTTGCGAAGCAACAAAGAGACACATAATTGATAGGTTATTGCAGGTTGTAACGGTGACCTTCATGTAAAACAACAGGCTTTGGCGGCAACAAACTTGTGTCAAAGTGACCTATGATTGATACTCGATTTGCAACAAATATTTATTAAATGGGGCATTGTTTTTTTTTGGATTTTGAGAGGGGAGGTTGTCAAAGACATTTTGACTCCCATTGACCAAGAAACCCATATTATTTTATTTTATTTTTTTCAGATTTATGTGGGGATGAGCATAAGTTTATTTTCCTAAGTAACACTTACTCGATGGGTAAATAACTTTTTCACCTAGGGGGAAGTCACTAACATTTGAATGGGACAAAAATGTCCATTTTCATTTTTCAATAATTAATTTTTACATCTAAAATGCTCATTGCCTTATTTATCTGGTAAATAAAAGAGCATGGGAAATGCACTTGCTGGGTAAGTCTTTCTTAGGAAACACTTACATGGGTAACTAACTTACCCAAAAGCAAATGGGACTTTAGAGATAGTACTTTTGATTCCCTCAATTTCTCCCAAAATTTCTATTGGCTTTCAGAATGCTATGTATTGTAGCTTCCATTGATTACCCAACAAATTCCATAATACATTGTCTTACTTTCGATCATTAGTTCATTGCCTTTGATTCCTTAACAAAATGGTTTTATGTATGTAACATATCCATGGCAAAGGGATTCTCATTCTATAATGAGACAGGATCTATTCCTCACAAATGGGCACCTCATAGGTACATCCACCATGTATTGAGAACATCTCTTGTGAATAATAATTAACAAGTACGGGAGATGTTTCCAATGCATGATAGGATGTGCATGTGAGGCGCCAGCTGTGAGGAACAGATCCGGTCTCGTCTATAATGGTCCAAGTGTCTAACAGAGTAATAGATAGATTTTTAGATGGATTGAACCAATTGAACCAGTCGATTGAACCGTTGACAAAAAATAGAAGGGCAGAGTGGTTCCATCGATTTTTAAAACCTTGTAACGAAGTTTATCAGATACCTCAATTATTTTCCATTCCCGTCCCCATCTCGGTATACCAACCCGATCGGTTTGGGGACGCCGGATACAAAAAAACAAGTTATATTATATAATGACAAAGAATCAATAGATTAGGTACCTTTATACTCTAAAGACAAAAACGTACCGTCTGGTTAATTATTAGTCAGTGCCTCTTAGATGTGCCTAAAACCGCTATCTATAATGCATTGGGACTTTTTGTATTGAAGTTTGAAACTTGAATATACATCCAAAAAGAACAGAACGGAAGGTTTTTAATATAGCGGCCTAGCGGGGAGCCGGGGACCGGGGGACGAGTCAGTCGGGGACCGTAGGTCCGCAAGCCCACAGAGTCAGAGATACATGAAACCGTAGGAGTACTAAAGCCCGCTATATTTTTGGCATGAAATTTCAAACCGGCTTGTTGAGCCCGCCCTTGTTAAATACCCACATGGAATTCAAACTCACTTTCAAATCCACCTCAGACCATTTATGTCACACTCCTCCCCCATAGTCTATCTCGTATCCCCTTTTCCCACTCGAAAACTGGTACTCTTGAAGCTCGAAACACTCTACAACGGAGTCAAGCGCGGGCTTGTTACAAGCTGACGGTTATCTACTCAGGCGAGATTCCATGTGAAGTTTTCAGATCAGCTGCTCCAAAGTTTACTGGTGTTTCTTGGTTTTACACATCTTCACACTTAGGGCTTCATTTTCTCTTTAACGCACTTACTGGCTGTTCACCGCAATGGCTTCTGAAACCCTAGAAGAGAAGAAATCCGACGATGGATCTCCTGTCAAGGAGAAAGAAGAGGGCAAAGAGGAAAGCAAAGAACACGAAGAGGGAGTCAAGGAGAAAGCAGAGGACGGAGAGGAAGACAATGAGAGAGGAGATTCAGAGATGGCGGTTAAGGATGATACTCCAGAAGAGAAAGAGTCCGAAAAGGTAGAAGCTGCGGAGGAAGAGAAAGAATTGAAGGAGAGCGAGGGAGGAAACAAGAAAGTCAAAGTGAGTCGCAAGCGCGGTTTGAAGAAGGGTGGCGACGAATCAGAAAAATCCGGGGAGGACTCGACTCAGAAGAAGCAGGCAAAGAGGAAGTTGAGCTCGGATGAACCGGTTACACCCGTTGAGAGACCCGTACGAGAGAGGAAAACCGTGGAGCGCTACTCAGAGCCATCGTCCGAGAAGGTTTCGGCGACTAAGGGGTTTTCTATTTCTAAGGTAGGATGGGCTGTTGGGCAATGGGCAGGGATTATTTTCTTTTTAGCTTGTTGAGCTGGTTCTTGCTTTTTAATTCAGGATTTGAGTTTTTGCTTAGTTGGAATCTTATGGTATTTCAGGGTCGTGGTATCCCGCTCAAGGACATTCCAAATGGTAAACATCATTGACAATAAAAACATCCTATGTTCTTCGTCTATCCAGTATTTCCTTAAATGGTGATTCTTGTTCGTCTCTAAAGCACATTGCAGCTACTGACGTGAGTTGCAATCCAATTACTAAAAAGGATGCAAGTGGATGTAATTAATTAATTCATGACATACTTGACCGGGGAAGTTTGTATTGTATCGTTTTCCCCATGCCAAGCACAATCGTTAATAGAAGTGTATATATTGCATACATATATGGGAGGTGTTATGTCAATGACAAATGCTGAAACCATCTTATGAGAGCTACTATCCTAATGTATTCCACTGTTTTATTGTCATGGTTGCCTAATAAGTAAGCCTCTAATATGCTAGCTATGGTACTTGTATATGTTGGGGTGCTGCGTTCTGTTATTTTTAGTGCAGTTCCCTACACCTCATTCTTGTCCCTGTTTTATGTTGGTTATGCAACGCCTTAGTGTTTTCAAGTTATTTTAACAATACCTGTTATTCCACTTCTATATAGATAAGACCTCGTAGATATGCAATTTTGCTCATTATATTTTGCTGTTGTATACCATTACAAGTTGTTTCTTATCTTGTTTCCTTTCCCTTCCCTCATTCTCTCTTGCTTGCTCTCTTATAGAAATTAAATTTCTTATTTTTCTTCATATTTCTTCATATTTCAATGAGTTATAATGTGCAATATGTCACTTTGAAAAAAATGAATGTTTAGTATAATAATTCGTGCAATGGAAAAAACAGGATTCATGTAGTTGACCCAATGTGGCTGTGACAAGGCTTAGTTGAGTTGAGTTTGTGTAAGAAAATAACGGTTATCCTTGTTCTATACAAGGACTTTAAGAAGCCACATTGACTAAAAGAACAAATACCTAGGTTGCTACCTGAGAAGAAATTCAATATAATGCAACCATAACATTTATCCAATTCAATAAAATGCATTTAAAAGCAAGAACCATATATGCTAATGTCAAATAAAATGATTGAACTATAAAAAACTTTCATATATGTTGATTGATGTCATTAGAAAAGGACTTTGTTAATATAAAAAATCTGAAGTACATGTAATAGCCCCTAACATACACAATATAATGTAGGTTGGTATGGCATGCCACAATACAAATTACTCTCCCTACATCTTCTCTGACCAAGGAATCACCTATCATATTTATTGATCTTGAGATCCAGTGAAGTGGATTTTTCCCCTTTGGAAGCTAGAGACCTGGCCTCTCTATGGGATTGTTTAAAGACACAGTCCTCAGTGATAGTGCATACATTGTTAATGTTGACGAACTTCGAATTTGCATTTAATCTTGGGAAAGGGTCCGTATGAACTCTCCAAGATTTTGTATTGTGATCAGTGATTTAAAAGAAGGCGTGCCTAGGCGCACATGCGAGGCACATTTTGGGATATGCGCCTCGCCCTGGTCCTAGGCGCACCCCTTTCAAAAGGCGCGCGCTTGATGCGCCTTGCGCCTCAATCCAGGCGTGCACCTTTTTAAAATTTTACGATTTTTGCTTTTTTTTTTTGAGTCTAACGGCTGGGCTAGAGGCTCTGCCCCTGGACCCCCCGACCATGCCTCTCGAGGCAAGCCCGAACAAGTATATGTTAGGGTCTGAAATTCTTATTTCTCACATAAAAAAATAATGATTTTACAACTTTCATTGCCTTTTAAGAGGATATTTTATTGCAATGAATGAATGGACAACATCAACAGATAGGGGGTTCTCTCCTCTCCGGTTTGCTCGGGCTTGCCTCGAGGGGCGTGGTACAAAGGTGATTCATAGAATCAAGAATGTAATATGTTTTACATCACATTACCTACTTAAAGCAATGCAATTAAGGACAAATAAGATATTGTGGGTTTTTCATGCTTGAAAATGCTTTATATGTTTTCTTTGATTTTTAAATTTTTATTTGAATACACTCTACATGTTATGTTTATGTATTTTAATTTTAGATAATAGGTTTTTTAAATCATTTATTTTAAAATTGAAGTTTATATATTTTTATTAACATTATGTTTAGTATTTTTTGATTTTTTTTTCATTTAAAAAAAAGACATTTTTTTTGAATTTTCTGACTTATTTTTTTGTTTTTTTAGCTTTTTTTTTGTAATTTTGCGCCTTTCCTAAAAAGGCGCGCGCCTCGCTTTGTGCCTTGTGCCTCAGGTGCAAATTGGCCCTTGAGCTTTTTTTTGCACCTTGCGTTTTCAAAACACTGATTGTGATTTTGGAAACTGTTCTCAACTCAAGGGTGGTGTCAAGGAACCTAATATACACTTGGCTGAAATAAATTGTGCAATTTTGGATGCTGGTTTGGTTTTACCAGAGCAAATGATTCTGGAATTACATGATCCAAGTCTGAACTGTAGGAAACGTGAAGGGAAATTGAAAAGTAAATCCTGATTTCATGGGTTTAAGTCGAAGAGTTGGGCCTTGGGGGATTGGGAGCAGGTCTAGGAAGGTGGGTGGGGGTTTGTCTAATGCTATATGATTGCATTATGTGATTAGGAGGCTGCTTTAGTGTTGACATTCTTGCAATATGGAGAGATTTCTAGAGGGTGAATGCAAAAAATTCAATGAGTTGTGTTGAAAATTAATGTGATTCCTTCTAACTATTTCTAGGGAAGAACATTTTATTTGGTGAGCCATACAAGGGGATTAAATTTGGAGGGGTTTTTGGAAATTCAGTGCAAAAATATGAGAATTTTTGAATATGGAACTGGTGGAAAATAGAGTTTTTAGAGGTTATTTTTGAAAATTGCTTTAGTAGGATGAAAAGGAACTTAAAGCGCAGTGATAGCTCAATGAAACCTGCTTTATACCAATGTTTGATAGGGATAATTTAGAGAGAAAAGTTTTTCTCTAGATGAAGTGTGAATGCCTGTGTTAATTGGACATTTATGTGGGAATTGGAATTTTACATGTGTCCAACAGTTTGGTTCATCAAGATGAGAAAGAACAAACTTGCATACGTGTCTAAGGAAAAGTAAACATGAACTTTAGTCAACTTCCAACGAGATGAGAAAACATGATCAAGCCAACTTGGCCCAAGTTGCACCTCTAGTTGGCACATGGTAGTTGAACTCAACAAACTTGTACTAGAACTCAAGACAAGAGAGAAGCAGAAGAAAATCGTAGGATCTCTCCTAAGGTTTCTAGAATCATTCTAGACCTTTGGGTATTACTCACCAATAGTCACACAAGCACAAAACAACTTTTGAGAATTCATTTGTCATGTTATTCCAGCATCACATTGTACATGTTGTAGGGGCCATTTCTTGGTGTAGTTGTAAAATCTCAGGCTTATATGTGTGGGTACACATGCTTGACTCTGATGGTGGCCTTTTGATGCAAAAAATGTTGAAGGTTTGGGCTGTATTTAGTGCACCCATTTCACGACCCCATATTATTTGGATCAGCAGCTGAAATCAATTTTTTACCAACTGCCTCTTCAGGTATGTTAGTAGTGGTAGGAATCATATGCAGCTTAGGGATTGGAATAATAGAAGAATCAAGTTATCCATGGTATGCAATGAAACTATCTATGTTCAAAATAAGACTAATCCCCATGGTTATTTCTTGTAAGCCTATTTTCTTGGCATATTTTAGTGGTCAGAGTCTAAGCTTCAATTGGGATCCTATGACTGGAAGATTTAAATTCAATAGGTGTTTTACTGATGAATAAAGTGATCAAATCCATTCTAGGTTGGGTTTAATTAGTGAAATGGGGGCTAGAGGAGATGAAGGCCTGATAAAGATGAAATAGAGTAATTTGGAAAGACAATTACATGCTGAAAGGGTTTACATGGATTTAAGGTGATTTAGTTGAGGTTCCTGAACTATTTATGCCCAAGCATCCTAGTTAGAGAGAAAAGAAGCCAGGTTTTAAGATTTTTTTTAGAATTAGAAGAACTCTATCCATCAATAGGTTCAAATTTGAAGGATGGGAAATAAGTTAGACAGTCGCCCTATGGTTAGAAATCATTTGTACGATTTAAGAAGAACTCCTAAGTGTAGTTGCCTCACACAAGTCAACTTCCAGAAGCGAGCACTCTAGTTTCATTTTTTTGACCTGTAATATACTGTTGTTTACAACTATTTATATGCTAACACAGCTGGGTATTGCCCAATTGAACTTAAAAGACCAAACAACCTTGTATTTTTAAAACGAAAACGCTGCCTCTTAGACTGACCTCTAAATTAAGTTACTTAAAAACAACGGTATATAAATCCTAAATGACAACTACAATCAAAACTTACTACTAATTAACTACAATCATTTCATGTTGACTACTTTATGGGCTGTTTATGATTTCCATTACTACCATTCATAGCTTAAATAAGATAATAACTTGGTGCATCTTAATCTTTTTAATGTTAGTGAGGGTTGAGTTTTTACCCCTCCCTTTGTTTTGTAATTTTCTATCATCTTTTTCTTAATGAAAGTTGTTGTTATTGATAAAAAAAACTTGGTGCATCTTCATGGTTGTTACTCACTTGGCTTTGTTTTTACTCTGCGTATTTGTGATCATATCATCATTGTTTTGATTCCTTGTTTGAACTCTTGGTCTTGTGGGAATGTTGTATATCTGGAGGAAATTTCTGTAGATGTTACTTCTTATAAAGTTTTAGGTTATCCCTACCAGTCTTGTTGGTTCCTGGTTTGAACTCTTGTTCCTTATTTGCAATTTTTTTAATGTTCTGAGCTGTTTCAGTGGCTTTCAAATTGTCAAAGAGAAAGGGCGATGAAAACCTTCAATTGCTTCACACGATTCTTTTTGGAAAGAAGACGAAGGTGATCAATCCTTTTTGATGGTTCCCTAAAATTGATTCCAAACTTTATCTATATGGTTCTTAATTTTTTGTTGTTACCTTGCCTAATTGTTGGAGTATTGTCACTCAATTTTGATATTGGCTGTTAAATATCCTGCAGATTGTAAACACAATACTTTTTTGCAGGTACATAATGTGAAAAGAAACATAAATCAGTTTTCTGGTTTTGTGTGGACTGAGAGTGAGGTACTTTATTTATTTTTTTCCATTTCCTCTTAAAGAATCTTATTTTTTGTTTTTCATATGAGAACATTGTGCCATTTTGCATATGGTTGGCAATGGGGTGGATTAATTGGGTAACCTTCTCTTACCCGTCATTATTGGTTGTGCTTGTATGCAAGCAGACTCTGATTGAGTTTGATTTAGAGCACCTAAGACACCCACATTGTTTTTAGAGAAATACAAGCGGACTTTCTAGCTTTGGTGAGTTAAGAATAGGGTATTTTAATGTTCTTCTCTCAAGCCATCTCTCTTTCCTCGTGCCTGTATCATTTTCCTTTTGCGGTTGCATGGATGTTCTTTCTTTCTCAAACCATCTCTATATTAAATGGATCTCATGGATGTTCTTTTCTTTTATATTAAAAAGCCATCTCATTTTTCTTCTCTCAAGCCATCTCTCTTTCCTTCTAAATCTAAATTAGTAATGTTCTTTCTTTCTTTCTCTTTCTCTTTGTTTTTTTTCTTCTTTCTTTCACTTTCTTTTCCTTCAATTTGTTTTACTTTCCTTTCTATACATTTTTTTTTTAATTTTTTCTTTATTTTGTCTTTTTATATTGGGTGTGCCTGAGGTGTACACCTCTAGCACGTCTCTTGAAAAAAGTGTATGAGGCGTATGCGTCTTGCACCTGGGGCATATGTAGGGGTGATCTTTTCAGCTCGGCCCGGCCAAGCCCGGCTTAGAAAATCCAGTCTTGGGCCTAGGTTTTTGGTAAGGCCTGACTCGGGCCCGCGATAGGCCTGCAAAATTTAGGGCCGGGCTTGGGCTTGGCCTGGATATTTATAAATAATATATATCTTTATGTATATACGTTATTTAAAAATATTTGATGATTGATGTTTGATATATTAAACAGAGATTAATAGAGATTTGTAGGAGATTAAAGATTTTAATCCTACGGTCTTAGGTCTTACCAAATTCTAATCTAGTATTTAATGAAATATAGAAATTACTAAACCCTAATTATTCTCGGCTCTCTCTCTCTCTCTCAACAATTTCACAAAACAATTGTTGTGCCTAATCTCGCTCTCACCAAAAGATGAATCTTCTAGTGATGAAGACTTCCATTGATGAAGATAAATCTGAAGTTTAGAGTGGTTGCAAGTTTTGGGTAAAATTGAAACCATTTTCAATATTTTATTACTTATTTATTTACATTAGTTTGAACTATTTTTCTTAGTTTGCTAATATATTTTTTATTTCACTTTTTATTTGTAGGAGGTAAGTGGAAGATGGAGCCTCTTATAGAGATGTTTAAAGTTGTTTTGTGGATATTACATGACAATGGATGGTTTTTTTTGATAGATATTATAGGTTCTAGGTTGATTTTTTGTTGATAGAAAAATTGGTTTGTTAAAATTATCATTTTTTAGCATAGTAATACCAATTGAAACTTATAAATTGCAAGGTATAATTATTTAATTTTTTTTTTTTTTTATGTTCGAAGCTTTTATCTTGATGTTAAGTTTAAAGTTTCTTATAGGTTACTATAGACTCCACAACAATAAGTGAAAAAAACTACAATTGTTTAATTTTGGAACTGAAATACAATAATTAGGCCTGGAATCTTGGCCCGGCTCGGCATGGGCCCATGTAGGGTTGGGCCCGAGCTTATATTTTTTGGTCCATATTGTTGGCCGGTCTGGTCCAGGGCCTAGCCTAAGCCCGTTGTTATGAAGGCAAAGCTTGACCTGATTCATCAAAAAAAAAAGGGCAAAGCTTGGCCTGGCCCAGCCCATGATCACCCCTAGGCATATGCCTTAGAGGTGTCAGTGCCTCTGGCCTATGCCTTAGGTCATTTTGGGGGTGCCTTGCCTGGGGGCGCGCCTCTAGGCGTACACCTTTCACACCTTGAAAACACTGTAATTAGAACATCCCTTGCTACACTTCCCCTCCTATCTCTATACTCTTTTATCTCTTCTATTTACTTTAAGATGTTCTGTAGTTCTACCTTACTGATATCCTTGCCACCCACTTGGTTCATGAGTTGGTGGGTCATGGTTAAATTTGCTCTGGCTAGGTATGGGGTGCTTTTCTTAATATGTCTAATGAAAGTTACCGTTTCTGATAAAAAATGGTATGGGGTGCTTTCCTAGTTTTGCAGATAAGGTTTGCATTTTTTCTTTATATTACTAATTTAGATCTAGAGGAAATGTAAGTATTAAGCGGTGCTATTTGTTGCTTTGCAAATCAAAATGGTGATCTTTTTTAATCATTAATTAATGTTCTCTTTTTTTGCAGGAAAAACATAGGGCAAAGATAAAAGAAAAGCTTGACAAATGTGTTAAGGAAAAGTTGTTGGATTTCTGTGATGTGCTTGATATTCCTGTTAACAGGGCTGCTACAAGAAAGGTTGGTTACTATTTTATAACTCTCTTTGTGGTCTTTGTAGTTTATAAGCATTAATAGATATTTTATAGCATGTAAGTATACTTTCAGGAAGAATTATCGGTGAAATTATTGGAGTTTTTGGAATCTCCCCATGCAACAACAGAAATCTCTCTTGCTGACAAGGAACAGGTTTTACACTACTACGTTGTTTAGACTTTTAGTAGCGATGATGAGTTTGACTTATGCATTAATTGATTTGGTTGGATTTTTTTGAAGAACTTTGTCACTTATCTCAGGCGCAGAAAAGTAAAAAACGCAAGAGAAAGACACCATCAAGTACAAAAAAAGCATCTGGAGAAGGATCTAGCAAGGTCTGTGTTATGTGAATAATGTCCTTCTTTGGTTGAAATTGAATGTTACTTGTATGGCACCTAAATATTTCATTGTGTTTGGCAGACGCATAACGACTTCATTCATGAGTGTTCTTTCCTTTTGTTGTCAAGAACATATTCTTGCTGTTCTATCAGCAGCCCTACCTTAGGAGATTATAGATGTTAAAAGTTTTGTTATGCTTAGCATGGTGTAATGTACTAAATATTTCAATGTGCCGGATTTTGATGCATTTGCTAAAGCCTTCATCTGAGAGAATGAAGTCTTGTTTCTCTATGTTTTATTAAACTTTATTTTTTTGCTTGTATTTTGTGCAACTTAGACTATGTTCAGTTAAAATAGTGCTCTATAGAATTAGTACTTGAAGCTTGAAATTGATTCTTAAAATCAGTTATTAGAATGACTTTTGAGCTCAAGAAAGAGGTCAGACACTTTGAAATATTATTGTACATCCAAGCTTAAAATTGTTTCTAGAATCACAAAATTCATCACAATTAATTTTCTAAAAGCATGCCAAATGCAGCTAAAGTCTCTTTAATTTGTGCAGTATTTTTCACCGCATCAGTTTTTGATTTTTTAACGAATATTTCTGGATTTGCACTCATGTTTTATATTAGTGAAGCATTATAATTTATGGGCTCTGTAGATCTTGGGTGGTCACTTTGATTGTTGAGGGAAGGTATTGCTGGTTTAGGACTTATCAATAAAAGATATTGCAGGTATAGGGAATAACAGCAAACATTAGGTCCATATAAGGATGCCAATGAGTTGGGTTAAGTGTTAAACATGCACTGAATTGGTCATATTGGATTAGGGTTAGATTGGCCTTAGTTGAGTTTTGGGTTTAGATTTACCAATGCAAACATTGCATCATTGAAATATTGTTTATATTCGTCTTGGTGAGTTTACCGATGTGATTAGATCCACATTTGATTGGAATATTAATTGAGTGCAAATTTTAAAACTTGAATATGATCCACTTCTGTAAACGGATAATTTGAATCTCAGATAACTGGATTGGATGCCAGATTGGGTTTCAGATTTATTTGATCCGGTTCTGAGAAAAGAGCACTCCTTTATCAGCAGGAGAACTTTCTATTAAAATAAAAAAAGGTGGTATAAAAGTTATATACATGAAGGCAATTAACTAAGAAAATCTGTTCACCAGCATTCTGTTCAAATGAGATATGGAAAAGATGTCTCTATGAGTTTGACTTGTTGAATAAACAAAAGGTTTTTGGCAAGGTACCAACGTTTGAACTATTGACAAATACACCTGATACCAGTCATATGGTATACAAGTGTCACGGACCTATGGTAGTGTTAATGACTGCCACTAAAAGGTTATAGTGACAGTTTTAATTTCCACAACTATAGCTCCATCATTGCCGGCATAGGTCAAGAATTATAAAAAAAGGTTATTGATTATTTTCCATATGTTTTGAACAATGTTTTAAAAGTTGTGCCTCAGGTGTGCCTAGGTGCATGGGGGAAGTATATTTTAAGCTATGCGCCTTGCCTTGGCCCAGGTGCACCACTTTCAAAAGGTGCATGCTTGGTGTGCCTAGGTGTGCCTCTCGTGTGCCTTGCGCCTCAGTCTTGGTATGCACCTTTTTATTTTTTTTTGTGGTTTATTGCTTTTTAAAGGATATTTAAGATCACAAAAACATTTCTTTTGGGATTAAGATTTTTAAGAGCCTAAAGTTGACTTGTTTGTGCTTGCCTCAAGGGTCTTGTTAGAATGGTGGTTGTAAAATTAGCAATAAAATATGAAACATTACAGTAACTATTTTAGATAATGCAATTCAGAAAGAAATGTAGAAATTAAAAGTTTTTTTGATCATTATAAGAAGTAATTTTATTATATTTACTTATAGAACAGATGAGTACAAATCAAAAGATAGGGCTTTCATTCCCAAAAAGCAAACTCCAAATTGCATTAAATCCCAATACAGTTGTTGCCTTCCAACCAAGGAACAAAATTTTATACGATACACCCTGTATCGGGTGTATTGTATCATATCTTTTGGATTCTGAAACACCTGTTTACAGGCAGGAATCCTTTCTTTTTTAATAAAAAAATATATAAAAACTTATATAATAACCAAATTAAAAAAAAATTAAAAAGAAATATAAAAGTGCCTGTTTTTAGTACCGATACACAGAGATGTATTGATACTTTGAACCTTGCTTGCAACCCCCTACTTAGCAAGGGAATCGGCAGACCCATTTGCATTCCTTCTTACCCACTTGAATTCAGCGTTTAGTTCTCTTGCATGCTTTCCACTTCCCCGAAAGAATGTTTGAGTGTCCATGGGGTATGTCTTTTACAGTTTACCCATGATATACTTAGTTTTGAGTCATCCTCCACCTCCACCTGTCTGTAACCCTAGTGTTTTGCCAACCTAAGACCTTTCATTAATGCCTTGAATTCCACCTTGGAGGAGTTACCCATTCCAATTACCACTGAATATAATGCCAAAATCCTGCTTTCAGAGTTTTTGAATACACTTCCTATTCCTGCCAAACATGGATTTTGGAAGGAGCTCCCATCGAAATTCAGGTTTATGTTGTTGCCTTCAGGAGGTTTCCACTCCATCCTCATTAAATCTTTTTACTCTAGAAGATTTCTAACTCCATCCAGACTCTTAGTTAAAATATTATTTACCGAGAACCTGGAAACAGTCCAAGTTTTTTAGTCTTTACTCTTAGTTAAAATATTATTTAAAAGTTTGATATGATTGAATATGTTTTGTATGCTATTTTTTATTTTATTTTTGCACTATTCACTTTGAATATGTTTTATATGCTATGTTGTGTGTTTACATTTGTGCTGATAGGCTATTTTAAAACATTTAGTTTAAAATTAAATCATATTTTAATTAAAAATATTTTTAATATTTCCCAATTTATTTTGATTTTTTTGTTAATTTGTGCCTTCCATCAGAGCATGTGCCGCGCCTTCCATCAAACACTGGTTTTAAACTCATTTATTTAACAATAATTTATGCCAAAAATGATTTTACCTCAAATTTTATAAAAGTTTTGAAAATTAAAAGATATTTATGATGTGTATTCTAAATTATTTTCATGAGAAGAAAGAACTATGGGATGGATATATCAGTGATCTATCAAATTCATTGATCTAACAACAATTTGATGTGCCCTTGTAGTGAACTTTTATTACATTGGAAACTCAAACATTATTTGATGTATGATCAGTAAAATTATTGTATGATATGTATATGGGAAAATCTTTGATGTAGAAAAGATATGGTATGGAAGGAGTTCTGTCCAATCAAAACCCACCCATGAATTTTTGTAAATAACACCTTGTTCCCTATTACATTTATGATTCTGGTTTATTGGTCAGTTGTTTTTTGGATATCATATCTTTTCTATATCATAGTCGAACCCTATGTATATATATCTAGACTCTTGGTATTGTTGATTGTTATGTATCTCTTCATGTGAACTATGAAAGTTTGTATTCTGTTTATACCTTATTTGTGGGTTTTTCAACTATAGATTTATTGTTGGTGTGATTTGTTTGACTTTTTGTGAGATTTACAATAGTTTCCTCAATGTATCTATTTGTATCAATTTCTCTCCACCATATCCATTGTATCCAAACATATCAGGATATGCATAAGCCTTTTGATTTGATACTTGATGTTGATACTTTGATCTTTGCAAACAACTATAGTGGTAGTTGATATAATTTTATGATTGAAGTCCACAACAATCTTGTCTTTTTGGATTATGTTTTAATGCTTGCTTATCTATTGAAGTATTTTGGGTTTTCAAGATGTGCCAGTGGGTCTTCAACATTAAGAAACATATTTATTTGGAAAAAGAAAGCGATTTTTTGAATGTTTTATTGCTAATTTTGTCTGGTAGTTAGGTTCGGACAACATCGTTAAAGTGTTTTAATCCTTGTGGTAATCTCTATCTATTGTGACAATATTTTGTTTGTCTGTTTGTTCTTTCTGCAAATAGAAGCGGATACGAAGCACTGGAGTTGATAAAAAACAAAAGCGCAAGGCTGAAGAGGAGGTTGAAGATGAGGATGAATCTACTGACGTAAAAGCTGATTCTGATGAAGGTGATGATAGCGACAAAGTGCAAAAAGAAAGTGATCATGATGCAAGTGATTCAGGGGAAAGTGAATCAGAAAGGGAGGAAGACAAACCAAAGGGGCAGAGACAAAGCAAAAAGGTGTCTGCCAAGAAGAAAACCAAGGACACAGAATCCAAGAGCAAGGATACATCTGCACCAGTCAAAAAGGGTACACCTGCAAAATTTGCTAAAAGCCCTTCAAAATCAGCAAAAAGTCCCTCTAAGTCTACTGTAGAAAAAGCTTCTGCTTCTGATAGAGTTTCCAGCTCACCTTCTAAATCTAAGGCGTTGTCAAGCAAAAAGCAACTGGGGTATGAAAAGAAAAGTGAGAAGAATATAACTACGTCCAGTAAAGACAAAACAAGCAAAAAACCAGGAGGCAAGTCTGCAGGAAAAATTCTTACCAAGGATCAAGGTATTTGTAATACATGCATGGCAAACGAATATATGACCCCCTAATTGGTTGCATGTTTATAACCCTTGTCCACATCTTTCACATTAAATATCTATATCTATGAATAATAGCCTTAGTTTTTTCCCTGTTTTTTTGCAAGTCTGGTAATTAAATAATTCTTGTTGCCAGATTTTCTTGGGTAATGTATCATATGTTTTGAAACAAGAGGGTGACATGGGAAATGGGTAGATGCAATATGTGTCTTATTTCTTCTCCGCTCTGAATCACCTCTTATAAGTGGGCTTTTCTTCGACGTACATGGTGAAACCAAATGAACATTGATGACTTACCCAAATGTTACCCTATTGGGCTTAGAAAATACAAATGCAGAGAACAGGTAAATAGATCTGCTGGGTCATCATGGTTTGGGCTGGACTTAAGACCTATGGTATAGGCTTTGGCCTGGCCTGAAACCCAGGACTGAGATATAAAGCTTGGCCTGGATTCTTGCTGGGTTGGGCTTTGTGTGTGTGTGTGTGTGTGTGTGTGATCACACACTCCATTCTGCTCTAGTGATTCTTACTGCAGAAATCATCAAATCACTGATACTAAATCAAGAGTAATCCATATACTCAATAGAACAGTTGATCGAAAATTATAATTGATAAAAGTAGTAGAAATAAATAGAAGACTCATTTAGGGATGTGACTGTTTTCCTTTTCTTATTTCCTTGTATTTGTCCTATGGCTCCTCAATGTGGAGTGCTTTGGACTTTACATGAGTCCACTTTAAAGAACACTTGTTCCTAAGTCTTGTGATGCTAGAATGGGAGGATGATACACATAAAGATCAATAGTGCTGAAAGTCTTGGATATATTCATGGAAGTTAAGAGTCCACCAAGTATGTGTGGTTCTTTATCTTCATGATCATATTTTGGTCAACTGCGTCTCTGTTCATGGCATTTGCTGATTCAAGGTGCTTCTTTGCTTCAAGAGTAGATATTATCACATTTAGAATGTGATTTGTTATCATGGAGTCTCATTCTATGCTCGAATATCTTAGGGAGGAGAACCGAGTCTAATGTACTTTTATGACCATGATTCTTTGCACTTGATAATAATCTTTCTAAAAAATATGAAGTTTGCCCCAGTGATTTAAAAGATGTGCCTTGGCTCTCAGGTGAGGTACATTTTAAGGTATGCGACTCGCCTTGGTCCTAGACATAGCACTTTCAAAAGGTTTGTGCCTAGGCTTGCACATGGTGCTCCTTGTACTTCAGCCCAGGTGCATGGTCTGAGAACCCCCTGTTTTCTAATGTTGATTCATTCATTTGCAAAATATCTTCTTAAAAGACAATTGACATTATAAAATCCATTATTTTTGTGTATGGATTAAGAATTTAGGACCCTAACATGGATTTGTTTGGGCTTGACTCGTGGGGCTTGGTACAAAAGTGGCTCATAGGATCAAGAATGCAAGATGTTTTACATGACATTAGCTATTTGAAGTAATGCAATTGGGGAAACAAAGAGATTGTGGGTTTGACATGTTCGGAATGTTTTATTTTTAAATTTTTATTTGAATGTGCTTTACATGTTATGTTTATGTGTTTTATTTTTAGATAATATGTTTTAAAACATTTATTTGAAAATTTAAGTTTATATTTTTATGAATATTATGTTTAACACTTTTTTTTTCCTTTTGCATTTTTTGGAAATGTCTGGTATTTTTCCCAATTTTGCGTCTTGCTTCAAAAAGGTGCACACATCGCTTTGTGCCTTGGGCACAAATTGTCTCTTGCGCTTTTTTTTCTGCCTTGCTTTTTTAAAACACTGGCTTGTCCTTTGTTCCAAGGGTGCAACAACAATGTTTTAAAACACTTGCTTTTCTGAGTGAGCTTATCATGGGATTGCTAAGGTTGGGAGGGTGGAAACCCTCTTTACTCACTTGCAGTTTGCTGACGACACGATTCTATTTTGTGAAGACGGTAATGTGAGCTTTATCAGGACTTTGAAGTCGGTGATACAACTGTTTGAGCAAATATCCAACTTGAAGGTTAACCTTGGGAAAAACTGTGTTGTGGGGGTGAATTTGGTTGTAGGAGAGATCAGGGAGAGTGCTGAAGTGTTGGGGTGTGAAGTCTCAGGGTGGCCTTTGAACTACTTAGGGTTGTCTTTAGGTGATAATCCTATGAGAGAGAGCTTTTGGAACCCGGTGGTGGAAAGGTTTGAAAAAAGACTGGTGTCATGGAAAAAGAAGTACCTCTCTCTTGGTGGGAGAATTACTCTTATTAAGGCCACGCTTGTTAATTTACCTATCTTTTTCCCGTCGGTGTTTAAAATCCCAATGAAGGTTGCTAATAGATTAGAGAAGTTAATGGGAGATTTCCTGTGGGAACCGGGAGAGGAAAAGAGGGATCATAGAGTTAGCTGGGAGATTGTTTGTAGGAGTAAGACATGTGATGGTTTGGGGCTTGGGAATATTAGGAGAAGGAATACGACTCTGTTGGGAAAGTGGTTGTGGAGATTCCCCTTGGAGAAGGAGAAGCTATGGGCTAGAATAGTGGCAAGCATTCATGGGCTGGAGCATAATGGATGGGACGTTGGAATCAGAGCTAGGATCACAAGCAATTTTCCTTGGAAAGCCATTCATGACTTGTTACCAATTTTCTCCCCTAATATTAGGTATGATTTGAATTCCGGTAACTCCATAAAATCTGGGAACAAACCTGGGTGGGGAGTGCCCCTCTAAAGGATCAGTTTCCTCTTTTGTTTTCTCTTTCTGATATGAAAAATGAGCCAATCTCGTCTTTTACCACCCCGTCCTCTTTCACTTCTGGGATTGGGTGGAACTTGGGTCTAAGAAGGGATTTGAGGGAYTYAGACTTYGACWVTATYWYGAGCCTTMTTGCAATTCTTGATAACGTTGTCTTAGACCCCACTAGGGCGGATTCTAGAATTTGGACACCTTCTCCCAACGACATTTTTTCTTGTGGTTCTTTCTTCAAAGTTTTAAGTCAGTCCACTAGTCCTACCTTCCCTCATTTTTTTGTTGATGATGTTTGGTGCATAGCAATACCTCTTAGGGTTGGTAGTTGTTGTTGGGAAGCCTATCTGAAAAGAATCAACACTGGTGATCTACTCCAAAAGAAGAGACCCAATACTTGTTTGTCACCTCAGTGGTGTGTTCTTTTTAAAGAGGATGGGGAGATTGGTTTTCACCTTCTTGTGTCTTGCCATTTGAGAGGTCAATTTGGGAATGAGCTTTGTCCCTATTTGGATGTAGTTGGAATACCCCATCAGACTTGCAAGGCCTTTTTTCCCCTTCTTTTTTCAGGTGGCGGATAAAAAGGGGAAGGACAATGTGGAGAGGACTAAGGGCTGTAGTATGTTGGACACTTTGGGAAGAAAGAAACTCCAGGATATTCTCAGAAGCTCAGAGAGGAGCAGCAGATCTGAGGGCTATCATTCATATTAGGGCGGTACAGTGGCTGAAATCTTTGGAGCTTTTCACAGATTACAATGTGGATGACATGTTGAGGAAGTGGGGTGAAATTGCAAATTGCACACAGACTAAGT